ATTATACCATCACCATCCCACACACCATTCAAACAAAAAACATAAAAAAACATAAAAAAAATAAAAGAAAATTGAAAAAGAAAATCGATCCACCCTTCTTCGTTTTCAAACAAAAGAACCCACCACCACCTACACGGCGGTCTGAGGCGGTTTTGCACCCACCTCCGCCCAAGGCCGCCGCTCAACACAACTAACTTCCATCTAAAACTTGAGAGAGCCGCTACATAATACATTCGGGTATACAAAAAGCGGACCCACCACCACCGTCATTATCTTCCTCATCTCCGACGCCGTCGTGCATCTCCGACGAGAGTGGGAGCTGCAATGTCTGGAGGAAAGAGAGAGAAAAAGAAAAGAGAAAAAAGAAGAAAGAAACGAGAAAAGAGATGGGATAAATGACAAATGAGATTAGAGTTTTCAAAAAGTACATTGTGCAATTAAAGGTAGATTTACAATTATGAAAATAGCATTTAGGTGGAATATTAATTACGGAAAAGCTTCATGGCCAGAATCTGGCTGGCCAAAATGGTCAATTTTGTAAATACATATAAAAGTTTATTACACCTAATTACTAATATACCCTTCAACTATAATAGGAGTAATAATTAATTCCAATTTGAAATTTTTGTCTCTCTCCTAATATAATTACCAGGATTCATAGTTTCCAAGTATTCAATCAGATTATAATTTACAATGATCAATGACGTCAATTAAATTCCTTCATCTATTTATTTTGTTTTCTTCATGTCCAGATTCTAAAAATTGTAAAAATAAAATAGAGGCTTCTACTTCTTTTTATAAGAGTGTTTTTTTGTTTGGATTTTGTTGGAATAAAGACACAAAATTGGTGGAAAATTGTATCATAATAAAGCTTCACATACCAGAAAAATAGTGGCTACAATAGATACAATTATGAGTTATGCTAAAAATACGACAAAAAAATGTGTTCTTGATAATTAGTGATGCGATATTCTGATAAAATAGCGGTTCAATAGTCTGAGTTAGGGGTGATAAACAAGCCGAGCCGACTCGTGAGCTCGATGAGCCGGCTCGAAAAAAGCTCGAACTCGAACTTGAGTTTTTCGAGCTCGAGCCAATTTTTAGTTGTTCGTGAGCTCACGAGCTGGCTCGCGAGCCTTATTTATTATTTTTATTTTTTTAAATTATTTTTTTATATATTATTTTGTATTTAAATAATATATAATAATATAAAATATTATAGAAATAAATAATAATATATATAATTACATTTTATTGTTGATTTTGTAATTTTTTAAAATAATTTTTAATAATAATAAAATATTAATTAAAAAATATTAAAAAATAATAAAACGACAAAATGAGCTTGAGCTTGAGCTCGAGTTCGACAAAATGGCAAGAGCTCGAGCTCGATCGAAAAAAGAACAAACTCGACGAGCTCGAGCTCGACAGAATAGACTCGAGCTCGAGCTTGAGCCTGTCAAAAGAGGCGAGCTCGGCTCGTTCACACCCCTAATAATAATAATAATAATAATAATAATAATAATAATAATAATAATAATAATAATAATAATAATAATAATAATAATAATAATAATAATAATAATAATAATAATAATAATAATAATAATAATAATAATAATAATAATAATAATAATAATAATAATAATAATAATAATAATAATAATAATAATAATAATAATAATAATAATAATAATAATAATAATAATAATAATAATAATAATAATAATAATAATAAT